ATGTTAATTTAATAATTCTTTTCATTTATCTTAAATTATATCTAAATTTAAATTTAATCTTATATGAAAATGTTTGCCCTACCGGTGAGGCACTCGTCTTAAGCGACGCGTTGTGCGCCGTTTGACACCATGTATGTCATTCATGAGTGCCGGCGCTGTAGACCAGGTGTGAGCCGCCGGTACCACCGCCCGCACAGGTGTTGTTATGTGCCAAATGCTTCTGGAGGTCGATCTGACGGCCGAACGACTTCTCACAGTTACTGTAATAGCATTAGAGTGAATACTTGTCGATCTGGTGATAAGACTTCTCGTGATAGGTCCGGGAACTCGGTTACGTGAACGTACGTTCACACCCGCCTTACAAGCACTTGTAAAGCTTGACACCGGTGTTTGCCAAAATGTTGGCCGCATATACCGAGACATACCTTAACAAAAAAAAACATTATCATTAATACAATGCACTCATAATCGTAATGAATGGACAAATAATTAGGCTGACCCGATATCCTTTTCTCAAAAGAATTTACACTATTACTATTAACATAAATTATCCAAATTTACAAAAAAAATGTATTCTCTTCTTATCCTTTATTATTACTAAAAATTTGTTCAAATGTTGTTTATTCTTAAATTGAATCTGTTCACTCTCTACAAATAATGCAATCAATATATATCATAAATTGCTTTCAAATTAGCTAATTGTAAATTACAGTAATTAAGAAATAAAATGTAAATTATTTGTAGCTTAATTGATCCCAAGGCATGACAGATGGTGGTAAGTAAACTTACCATTATGAATGTCTACATTAGAGTAATCAATTACTTTGACTTCTAATTCTATTTGTGTGCACAAACATAATTTTGTTGATTTTGTCCGGCGTTCGGGTCTTTGCTTTTGCCATAATTGGCGTCAAATGTGTGATCAAAAGTGATCGCCTCTTGCATAGAGATGTGGAGCCGGAGGTGAGTGTCCAGCAGGTCTTTGCGGGCGAACCACTCATTGCATCCGAAGTATTTGCCATTCGGCGGCAGTGGGTGTCCACTGAAGAGCTTATTGTTTGTGTTTGTGATACACTTATGTATACTTCTGTCCACCAGTTGACCAGTTGTTTGCGCTATACTTTTGAGACAAAATTACATTAATAAGATATATTTTTAGTTATAAATCAATTTCACTCTAAGAATTTGTTATAATAATTATTTAAATGTTATTTTTAATTAAATTATATTGTTTAAAACTAATTTTAATCATATTCAACAGAACAAGTGAAAATTAATTGCAACTTAATATACCTATTAGTTACAATGCATAGTGATAGATTCCGATAGTAGTTTTCGAGAAAATCTTGGGGATAGTGATTGTGGTCCTTATCTTCCGAGTGGTGCCAAACAAATATCATTTCATTCTTCTCTATTATCTGCCATTTTTTACCACAGCTTTCACTGTATTTAACTCACACCCTATGGGAAACGTTTTGAATTCATATAATAATTTTAATTTATTTATAAATAATTAATAGTAATGGCTATAGACATACCGTTGAGAATAGGTATGTGTACTGTCCGTCTCTGCCAAACTTCTAGCCATAGAATGTACACTGAATACAGTCGTCGCCCGACTCTGACTCAGTCACCACATGTCCGCAGATACCGAAATTTGCGCCCAAATGTGGACAATAGGCGGACAACACGTGGACAGCACCCGATCCACCCCTGAATGCCATTACTATTAATTATTTATAAATAAATTAAAATTATTATATGAATTCAAAACGTTTCCCATAGGGTGTGAGTTAAAT